AGTTGCAAGTGCAAGGAGTCAAGTGCAATTGACTTGCGAGGAGTTAAAATCTCTTCTTAGGGCGGCGGGGTAGTGCCGACGACACTACACGAAAATCGACCCTCTGCGGGGATCGGCGTGGTCGAGGTGCAAAAACCCATGGTTTTTTGCGATTTCTGCGGTGCTCGCGCGACCCTCTGCGGGGATCGGCGTGGTCGAGGTGCAAAAACCCATGGTTTTTTGCGATTTCCAACCTGCCCGCGCGACCCTCTGCGGGGATCGGCGTGGTCGAGGTGCAAAAACCCATGGTTTTTTGCGATTTCCAACATGCCCGCGCGACCCTCTGCGGGGATCGGCGTGGTCGAGGTGCAAAATTCATGGTTTTTTGCGATTTCTGCGGTGCCCGCGCAACCCTCTGCGGGGATCGGCGTGGTTGAGGTGCAAAAACTCGAGGTTTTTTGCGATTTCTGCGGTGCTCGCGCAACCCTCTGCGGGAATCGGCGTGGTCGAGGTGCAAAAACCCGAGGTTTTTTGCGGCTTTTGTTGTTCGAACTGGTCCTCGGGAGTTGTGGCGTCGCAAGATGCAACTTGCATTTTAAAGCAACTTGCGCAGAGCAAGTTGCACAGAGCAACTTGCGCAGACCAACTTGCACCGACCAGTTTGCGCAGAGCGCCTTGCCTAGAGCAACTTGCGCAGAGCAACTTACGCAGAGCAACTTGCGCAGAGCAACTTGCACAGAGCAGCTTGCACAGAGCAACTTGCAGGGAGCGCAATTTGCACAGAGCAACTTGCAGGGAGCCACTTGCAGGGACCAACTTGCCGGAGCAACTTGCGCGGAGCAACTTGCGCAGAGCAACTTGCACAGTGCAACTTGCGTAGAGCAACTTGCGCAGACCAACTTGCACCGAGAGCACCTTGCCTGGTGCTGTCTCGCGCTTGCTTCACAAATGCTTCGTGTAGGGATGCAGCGTTGGGCCGACCTCGCTTGCGATGTTCTGCTTTCGGGCCAACCGTGGTCTAGTATATATATATATAAACATATATATATATATATGTATATACATATATATACATATATATACACACATATACATAGACACAAATATGTATATATATAGATATGCATATATATATATATACAAATATACATATATATATATATATATATCAACATATATACAAATATACATATATATATACATGCTTTTTTGGGGGTATTCCTTTTCTTGCTGCAGTTCCATTGCTCCATGTCGCCCTTTGCGACCATCTCGGGTTTTTTCCCCGTCAGGCGCAAGCAGCAGGCGGAGCAGCTGGTCCGCACGGCCGAGAACGGCCCGGGACCCGGACTCGGGAGCCGAGTCCACTGTGACCACGGGAGCCAAGCGGAAAAGAGGCAAATGGGTGTGGCTCAAAATGAAAGAGGCACGGTTATGCAAGTTGTAGTCTTCAGTTCCATTATGAAGGTGCCCTCTTGGTACGTGTTGTTGAGCCACCCAAATGTTCTAGGGGTAACTTCTATTTCCATTCTAAACCCTGGCAAAATGGCTGGTTTTGGAAAAGAGCGATGCTGAAAAGAATGGGGAACCTAGAAATGTGGCGTACGAGAAACTGCTGCCAACGCCAAACGGATTTTCTGCGTTTTGGGTAGTGCCAACAAGCGGTTTGTGGTTGTCAAAAAAAGCAAGGGCGCTCGAAGGCCAAGGGACCATTCTCCAGGGGAAGCATGATTGTGTTATTTTTCAGGGCCACCTTCCGTGATACCCATGGATCGCCTGGGACAAGCATGGGAATGAGTATCACATAAAGGGTTTCCACAGCTTTATGAGAAAACCTGGAAACAAACCAAGTTCACCAATGATGAAGGTCCCAGATCTGGGGGTTTCGTGTTAGTGCGCTCAGTTTGTGCACTAGCGTACACGCTGCGCGCTGCCCGCCTCGGCCAGGCTGAAAAGCAACGCGAGAGCAATGCGGGCTTGAGCAAATGATGCCGGGGCTGGGCTGTGCAGTTGGTGGGCTGCAGGGGAGAGTGATTGCCAAGAACTTGAACTTGAGCGACGGGGCCGGCCAACGAGGTTAAAATGAGCTAGACCCAGGAGCTGGGGCCTGGGATGGGTTTTGAGGTTGTGAGGCTGGATGCGTGAAACTGGCTGACAAGCCGAACTTTGGGGGGCTTGGCTTCAGCTGGAGGGGATCTGGGGTGTGGAAGATTCTCGGTCAAGGCAAACAGCTCGTAAACCAGGCTCTCCCCCACGCAGCTGCCCACCCTACCGGGGAAGACAGTTGGGCCCAATTGGAGAGGTTTCTTGAAGTTACTTTTCGGGGTTGGATTTCTTTCGCGCTGCAAAGTGCTCGCGTCGTCGCTTCGACAGCTTCAAAGGTGTCCAATTCCTTGAGCTGAGGCCTTTGTCGTCCCATCAGCCAATGGAAGCAACCGAGCCGAAGGATATAGTAGAAACAGACCAGCAAAACATTGCACCTGCAATTGGAAGCTGGAAACAGACATGAGCGGGCATCAAACTCGCAAATGAAGATGTACGCCAGGGTGGGCGAACACCATGGCAAAAAACAAACCTGAGGAGATGGCGACATGGCTTCTAATTGTAGCAAGCGCGGGAAGAGGAAAAACTTAGCTGAGATGTGGATAGAGCTGAAAGCTTTGGGGTCTCAGCCCAGATAGGCTCCGGGGTGATCCAGGGCGGCCTCGAGGTAAGGTTCCACGAGGGTTCCACCAGGGTTCCACGAGGTTCTGCAAGGGCTGCGGGTGGTGCGAGCACTAAAAAGAGCACCGCACGCTGTTGGGGATATCACCGGAGCTTGTTGATTTGACAGACCATCTTTTCGGAGAGCACTTCTGCGCATTTGTATGTTTGAGCTGGCAAACTGGTGTTGCCAATGCTGGTGTTTTCTTTTGATTTTCGCGTGAATCGGACCAGTGGACCGGGGATTGCTGGCGCCTTTCTGGAGCTTGTGGAGAGCGCCAGGTAGATGTTGCATGAGCGAGATGAAGCAGGCCGCCAAATGGGGAGTACTGCGTTTGTTGAACGGTGGTTTGCCTGTCATCTTGAGAACATTTCCGCTACAGCGCGAGTTTTTCCACCTCAGCGCTTTCTCGGTTGGATGTGTAGAAAAGGACAAGCTGTGTTGTTAGGGCTGAGGTAACAAGCAAGTTGCCAAAAACCGAGGAATGTCTACTACCTCAGTTGCGTTTAAAATGACGGCCCTTTTCAGAGGTTGCGTTGCATGTTCATGTGTTTCGAGATCTCACATCCACTTGTTGCAGGGCGCAAACTCTGGTTGAAGCTGCGGGCAATTCACCGAAACTCAGCTTCAAGCAACGCCTTCAGACTGCTGACACGAGCGGGGTGAATGCCAACAATTGGTGCAGTTGGACATTTGCTCAGACAGTAGCACACAGTCGCAAGCTGACCCGCGCTCACACACAGAGCGAAGGAGGGCAAGAGAGTGCGAGAGAGAGTTGTCTGCCTCATCGCGGGCCAGAAGGCGATGCAGCTGCGTCTACTGCGAAATCGTGTTATTGCCAGTCCATGTTGACTTCAGAGCTGCTGTGAGTATCGGGTGTGCTGCCTGGCGACGGTGGTCGCTGATTTGGCTGAACGGAATCAATCGGTGGCGAAGCTGCAAATATAAGTTTGGCCCACACCGGTCCATTCGGGAGACATGTGAAAAGCTTCTCAGAGTCAAGAACCCCTTCTAAGAAGGTTCTTAGAACCTTTCCCGTAGGGTGGTGGACCGTAGAAGGTGCACCAGGCAGGTTTTGGCAGGTCATGCCGCAAATTCATTTACTTCAGTATCTAGATTCGCTCTGACCTAAAGAGCCGTATTCATCCGCTCAAGTCGGTTGTGTGTCATTGGCAGTTCCGGCCCTTGGCGCACTCGCCCGCAGGCCGTGGGAAGATTGAAGGCTTCATCCCAGGCCGAGCTTCATGGCCTCGCAGGGAGCTGTCGTCCTTTCAGGGCCTGAATGGCAGGTGCCCGGTTCATGCGTGCGAGCCGAATTATATCCTTTGGAAACAGGTCATTTGCAAACAAGAGCGCTGCATCGTGGCGAGTCCTCAACACAAAGCTTGGCCTGCAAGCAAGCCTGCTTTCATTTTGGATGGTACTTACTAAGATGCTGGATGCATAGCTCAGAGTGATCCCCTTTGCGCAGGTCATCCCTCATGCGCGATTCAAGGGGTGTCTTCGCTTGGGGAACCCCTTAAGCACCCATAGTATCGCACGACTGTTGCAGGGCTTCATAGTTCAATGATGCATGTTTTCATTTTAGGTTGCAAGTCTCTGATGTTTTGCGGGCGGTTCGGGCGTGTTGTCCACAAGGGAAACCGCTTCTCTAGGCAGCGAATTGGGTTGCTGCCTCAGGCTTGGGGACGCAGCCAAGGCTTACGGAAGTCAAAGAAAGGGTGTTCCCATGTTGGAACTACCGGAACCATCGTGATAGCCTGGATGGCATGATGGTTGGCATTTGTTGCTTCACCACCCAGTTGATGGATTTGGCTTTGAACTTGCTCATTGAACAGGATGGCAGATCAACCCAAGCCGGACTAACTGTTACCTACCTGCTGACATTTGGTGACACCTGTCAATGGGGGTCCCCAAAGGGTGACAACATCAAGGCGTGTTGTGATTTTCTTCATTAATGACTCAATTTTTGGAAGATGCTGGGACAGGCAGCCGTTTTGCATGTTCCTGAAGCAAACAGGAAAGCGGTTCGTTTCGTTTTTGGTTTCCTTTCAAAGCCATTCAACCAGGTTTCCATATTCTCAGACCCATTGGCTGCAAGCATTAGGAATTTGTTTCAAGAAAGAGCCACGCCAGAACAGTCACCCACTCCAAAGAGCTTATTAGCGCCGAACTGTGTTTGAGCCAGCCCAAAACTTGCGCAACCACAAGCCCAAAAGCTACTCCAAAAACCGGGCTGCACGCCTCGCACAAATCAGCCCCAAGCCAACCAAACCGACGCAAAGTCAGCCTGAAACCCTCCCAACAGCATCCTGGATATCAGCCCTTTGCCGAGCCTAAATGAACCCCAAACAAACCCAAAACCCACCCTCAGACCTCAGCAATCCCAACAGTCACCCGAAACCAGCCCCGAGCAGCCAATAGGCAGCCCTAGACCGAGCGAGGCCGGCAATGCTGGGGATGCGGCCAACCAACCTGACCAATTAGGCTTTCAGAAAATACCGCCTGTTGCCCCCAACCTGAGAGAGAAGCACGGGTTCCCAGCCAACCTCTTTAGAGCCACACGAGGGAGGCCTTGCGCTGAGCCCTAGTAAAAAAAAACAACTCAACCCAACACCAGCCACTTCCCCTTGCGTCCGGGCCACGCAGGCTGAGGGCCTGTCGGACCTTGAGCAGTGGGTGGCGCGCATGGACGAGGAGGCGGGGAGCGGGGGAGCGGGGGATCAGGGGAGCGGGCAGCCTCGGCAGCTGGCGCTCGAAGCAACCAGACACTGTTCTCCTTCAAGTCGAAACCAAAATGGTCCAAATGTTGGCAATACGCAAGCAGGACCCTCCAGAGGGAAACCGAAAGGTTGTCCAAGCCACAGTGGTTCATAGCAAAGGTTGGTTCCAAACATGCGCGACATGTTCGGGGTTTGCGCCCTCCCGCGCCGGGGTCGGCAGGTGCTGCGGCCGCTCCAAGCCTTCGCTGAGACCCACAGCGGCGCCGGGGAGCTGCTGGCCACGGAGCGGCTGCCGCCGGGGGTCCAAGTCGGGGAGGGATGCAAGGCTTGGTGCGAATAGGTTGGATCTTGGCAATGAGGGTCCATGCTTTGGTCCAGCCCGAAGGGAAGTGCATGGCCTTCTATTAGATAGCCAACAAGGGTTGCCTGTACATCAGAAATGTATGTCTCATTGTTTACTGCGATCTTTGACCCGCATGTGTAAACAGCTACTTGGTCAATGTTCAACCCTAAACCTAAGCCTAGGATTCAAGTCTTTTCTAGCCTCACTTTGGTAAAGCGGGGAGATGTATTCAGTTGGCAAGACCCTGGTATAAAAAGGAACTCTTTTGCGGCGTTTGCCATTGTTCATAGGGAGCCCTCCAAACCTAAAATCGAGCAGTGGTTCTACTGCGGCACTGGGTGTCAAATGAAATCAAACGAGAAACCAAAAGCCCCCCAATGTTTTTGCCCACTTGCGTGGTGTATATATTTGCTATCAATGCTACACGAATATTTTTGCGGGAAGGGGGCACTGCTGTACGTTCTGCGCAGTGCCCTGCCAGAGATCACGCACAAATCGTTTCTGAAACCGTCGCGTCGCTTTCGTTTCCGTGCGGTTCTCAGTTCACGCAAACCGACGCCTTGTATCCATATGAGCACCTCGCATGCTGGATATATTTGCCCAGTGCGTTGTAATATGAAGGCCTCGAACTGCGGATCCCAAAGCACGCAATGCAAGGACAGGCCAACAGCTCTGTGATTCGTTGTGTCCGGCGCCTTTTTCTGGGAGGTGTCCCTTTGCATGCGCCAATGCTTTTTTTGCCTGTGAGCCATGCCCTTGAACGCTGCGTGAATGCGCTTCGCGAAAGAAAGAGGACACTACGTTTCAATACTTTTTCTGTTTGAGAAATATTTTCTAGAATCCCCTTTTGGCCACCGCCTTCTTCAAAGCATTTGATTTCCCTGGAGAAAATGCATGATTTCAGCAACGCCGGTGAGAATTGACGAAGAGTCAGGCGAACATGAGGAATGCGTGCCTCACTATTGATCCCCACGAGGAGGCGGACAAGATGTGCATATATGTTGTTGTGATTGGACGTGTTTCCTTTCACGAGGGTTCCTTCCCCCTTCCTGCACTCAGGGTCTTAGTTGCATAGTCTCCACCGATCGCAGCTTCACAAACTCAAGCGGGGTCCAGCGTCCTCCGCCCGCTCCGCCAAGGCCCACCATGGTCTCCTCTTTGGCCGACAACAAGCTCGTGTCTGACGACTTTCTGGCGGAGGCGCCGTGAATGTGCAGCGAGTGGCTTCGACGTGGGATGTTTCCGGACCGGCCGCACGCTGGGGCGGCGTGGGCGGGGTACGGCTGATGCGAGGCTTCTTGAAGGCCTAGTCTCAATGTCGCTTTGACCAGTCGTTACTCGAAGACGCGATGGGGATTCTGACTTGGCCATTTTAGGCATCAGGTTGGCCCGTTGATGTACAGGATCGTTTTTGTGTAAGAGGTAGGAAATGGGGTGTATCTGTAGACGAACCTTGTTTCGAAATGTGGACTTTCAAAACCAGTGAGGCTTGTTTGTGGGCATTCCCTAGGGACCCCCAATAGCCTGCTACTGCGGCTTTCAGCGAGTCGCAGAAACTTGGCGGTCCGAATTCCTGAGTTTCGTCAGCGGCAAGTTCGGCATGCAGAAACGAGGGACCAGTACTGGGGACCATGTCAAGCTGTCAAACGCCACCCTTGTTGCGCTGGGATGCAAGCCAATTTTGCCACAGCTCCCCTCCCCCCTTCTGCAATTTTGGGCGGTAGGTACTCCTGGAGTCTGCGGTGCGTGCTCACAACTATAATTGGGCATGAGTTTTAAGTGTGCTTCAGTAGCTGGACTCTTTGGGGGGCGTCATTGATATGGGGTGTTTATGTCCACTAGCCTTTTTTTGAGGGTGTTAACAATGGAAACTCACGAACAATTGAGAGCGCCTGTACAACCCAGTACACTTTGTGAAGGAAAGATCTGGACGTGACCATTGGCACGGCAGCGCCAAATACTGCTTCTGTACCAGTGGATTTGGAGGGAAACTGAGCGCAATCAAAGGAAAGATAAGATGCAACTGGACACAGACAAAGACACAGACACAGACACAGACACACAGACAGAGACAGAGACAGAGACACAGAAACAGACACAGACACACAGACAGAGACAGAGACAGAGACACAGAAACAGACACAGACACAGACACAGACACAGGCACAGACACAGACACAGACAGAGACACAGACACAGACACACAGACAGAGACAGAGACACAGAAACAGACACAGACACAGACACAGACACGGGCACGGACACAGACACAGACAGAGACACAGACACAGACACAGACACTGACACAGACACAGACACGGACACAGACACTGACACAGACACAGACGCAGACACGGACACGGACACGGACAAGGACAAAGTGACACGGACACAGACAAAGACACAGACACAGGCACAGGCACAGGCACAGACACAGACACAGACTCAGACATAGACACACACACACACACAGAGACAGACACAGACACAGGCACAGGTACAGACGCAGAGACAGACACAGACACAGACACAGACAGAGACACAGACACAGACAGCAGAGGCACCCACATCCACCACTTGCGCATGCGTGCACCCTCACACAGCCACACGCGTGCACGGGCGCAAACGCACACGCACACACGCAACAGCACACGCACAAACCCACACACCCACATTTACTTTGGCCCGGGACAAATTGTCATCAGGTGAGCCGACAGAAGTCCTTGACGTCGCGTGCTTGGAGAGCTGAGGTGCTGGGGGCGTGGAGCTGGGATATCGAGGGATCCTCCTCACCCGGGATCATCCTCATTCGTACCCTTTATTTTTGTCTCACTTGGCTCTTCGTTGATAGGGTATCCATTTCAGTTTCCGGGAAGCCATTTTCGTACCTTGGTTCTGATATGCCTGGTTTTGTCAGGGTTGTGTAAGTAAGGCAGCTTTGAATCTTTATACCATCATTTTACTAGACAAAAGACCATGCTTTTTCGGCACTGCGCAATTAGACAAGGGATTGAATCCATGCACATTCCCTGCTCCTTCTTGGTTGTGTCCCTGCTTGTTTCATCTCTTTGTCCAACGGCAGTTCGTGTTTTTCTGCGTCTTGGACCGCTATTCAAGAGTAGGGACCGGCATTCTTAATCACTCCTTTTGAGGTGTACATGCTTGGCAAAAAAGGGGGGGGCGGAGCATTTTCAGGAAAATGCGGTTGTTTGTGTTTTGCATTGTTTGGAGATTTGTGACGTATGGCGTTGTTGTTTTACGCTAGCTTTCGTGACTTTGGTCGCCTTCCGTACCTGAAACGGACCCAAGCTAACCCTAAGCCAACCCTAAACCCACTGTAACCAACCCTGAGCCAAGCCAGACCCACCCCCAAACCAACCCGAACCCGCCCCTAAAGCCACAGAAAGTCAACCCTGCACCCACCCGCACACCCAGAAGCCAACCTGAAAACTTCCCTAAATAAAACCGTAAGCGAGAACAATCACAATCCCTGCACTTATTCTAAACCTAGCCAACCCCAGAAAAAACTATCCATTTGAAACAGCTTTTGCTAGGCTCAAAGGTAACGTCGGCAAGCAGGCGAAATGGATACATGTTGAAACATCTTGGGCAAATTATTATGAGGTGACTAAGGAGGCAAAACCAGTGGACCAATGAACAATGATGAAGGTGCCTCACGAGGGTCTGGCGAACTTATTTCCTGCTTGAGAATCGTAAGGATTTGCAGAGATGCATTTCGAGCTCAGGAGCCGAGTGTTGCGGCGCACTGTGTCTCTCATGAGCAGAACCTCCACGTTTGAGACGGTTGACGGAGGCGCGCACGCGAGTGAGTGCGTTCGGGGCAGCGAGCCTGAGGTGCTTGGGAGCGTGAAGCGCTGTAGGGAAGGCCATGGTGGTATGAGTTCGGGCAGGATCTGCAGAAGTCTACGGTCAATTTGGAAGGAACATGGGGGGGACTGACTAAGGTTTCCTACAAACGCCAGGGGAGACTCACGACTTTTTGTTTATCCATCTCGCTTATCTGACTGGCAACATGAAGTCTGCTAGAACCCCACAGGGATTTGTTGCCAGAACACCTCATGCCTCATGCGGGGCGACCTTACCAGCCCATTTTTCTGAGGGCATGCGGGAGGTTTGTAACAGACAGCACATGGCTGATAGAAAGGCCCATGGGTAACGTTTCTTTGGGTTCAGCTGTGGAACGAAGCTGAAGATTTCACTTGACACAGCGGAGTTTTGACCGTTGTTTTTAGT